GGTTTCCCTTGTCATCAAAAAAAAAAAAACTAGGTAGGAAATCCTAAAATTTTGGTTATTAAAACGTTCCTTTAAACTAGGTAGGAAATCCTTAAATCAAACTTCCCTTAAATTTTTCTATCATTAGATTGAAACGGAATCGACCTTCCCTCAATAGTAGAGATAACAAACCCAACAGACAAAGGAGTTGTTGTATCTGTACGAGAAATGCTTTCTTGGAAGCTCTTTGTTAATATGGTTAAAAAGTGCTTCTTTATTCTCAACACTTATATAAGAGATTCCGGATATAATGTACTATGTCCAGTACTAGTGAAGGATGCACTATTTGATTGGGCCTTTAGAGGACAGAAGATAAGACATATGCGTGTGGGATGTTGATCCATTAGTTGGAAGATATTTGTTGAGCTATAAACCTATGTAGCAGATGGTTTAATCATATACAAGGCCGATAATCGAATAAAGTTTGATAGTGAGGCTAGGAGGTGAGCATCTACCTCTAGATTACAGACCGAGAATCAAGAGGTTGAGTACTGCACAATAACACCTTCATGAACACCACCTGACAGTGGCTAGCACAGTCCCTTATTAACATTAGTTGACAAATTCACATTAAAAGGACAGATGAGTGGTTTAACCCATTCCTCTTAAAAAGATTATTGCAAATGCACAACTATGGAGAATTTTTCTAAGTGACTAATCTGAAGGAGCCACTATACCACCTTAGACGACAAAGGAAGGGGGCAATAGAATGATGGCAAAAACAAGAAAGTGGAGAGGATAGCTAAAAAGAGGGGACCACGGCATCAAGGAAATAGATCTAGATCATAGTGGGGGAAAAACACAAAATTAGGTGACACTAAAGAAGCATCGGTAGAACCAATGATCAGAGAACAAAAGGAGTAGCAAAAAGGCATCCCTCAACAAATTGAGAGGCATGAGAGTATCTAAGACAGCTTATCTATCCCGTGAGTTTTTCCCGAGTTATAGTGACGAGAATTATTTGAGTAATCATTTATGAACATTACTAACTTGAGCAACGAAGTGAGCTTTGGACTTGTTTTCTTCGGTGAGCTTTGCATAAAAGGTTCCTATAAACGCACACTTGTTCGAACAAACCTAGATGCAGATCAACATCCTTCAGGACTGCCTTCTCCCGAAGGATCAATCAGCAACTGTAAATTGTAATACACCCAGAGCTCAAGGACTGAGAAAAATCAACTATCCAAGTAGATCTCAGGTCTAGTGAGGAATGTCTTTCCTTTCTGAAACCCTGCCCTCTATGTTATTGTTTCCAGGCCATTCTGAGAGTCAACATTTTTGTATTTTCAATTCTATATTAAATTCTCCAATTTGACACGTGATTCCAAAATGTGCAACAACATACCCAGTGTAATCCCATAAAATGTGCATTTGACTCAAAGGCGAACTTTCACTAGACAACAATGTTTATATATTTAGGTTCCAATATATGGCCATGATCCTGGGTGTCTAGCTCCTCAACTTGACAAAATTCAAACAAAGTCTCTACTTCCTACTAAAAGACCAAATGTCTAAAAAGAAGGCAGCAACAGCAGTTGTGACACTAGGAATAACTTTCCTGGGGAGCATCTCCGTTAATTTTAACAACATTATTCTACATAGAGTAACTGGAAAAATTAAATTCATTTGTAGTTCAACAAAAAAATTAAATTTAGTTTTAAGTTACCAATTTTTAAAAAATGAACTAAGTTTGTTGCAAATAGGTGAAATTCCCTTTCAGGGTACTGGCTATTTATTCCACCCCTCTCACTACTTTTTTTATGATTGTGGTGTCCGGGCCAACTTACACGCACCTCAACTAATTTCACGGGATACCTCCCACCAACAACTGGTAGCAGATAACTCTGTTAATCAAGGTTATGACAGATAGGAAGAATCACCTAGTGTTTTTTTGCCTCCTTGAGTTTTGAAGGTGAGACCTCAAAGTTCTCAACCACTGACCACTAGGCCACACCCTTGGGTGCCTCTCACACTACTTTTCTAACAGCATTTTTCTCTGTAGTTAGGGATTTAGGTTAGAAATTCTTTTTCGAATCCTTGAAAGCTATTGGATACGAGTAAAAGTTAATTTCCTAAACAAGGAAACAACCGGCAGGATACAACTTCAACTTGACATTACCGTCCATTTACTCACACCTTATACTATGGTAATTCAAATCCCTAAGCTTCATCACGGACATCCGGACAAGGCCAAAAAATTCAATAATTCAGCTCAAAGTTACACTGGTAATGCAAATGGCAGTACAAAAACTCAAATAAATTACTCAAAATTACATTTATAAAACCACCTAAATTTCATTCATATATATACAGATTCATTATCCACATAGCACTACAAACCTTCACCTCCTTTTAAACCTATAAAGTTAATGACAAAGCATTCAAAATTCAGTATGATACACATACGATAAGGCACTAACTGACCAGCAAATGCATAGTGAACATGAAGTGAAGGTCCGAGAAGCGTTGGCGGAGCTACTGAGTCGGCAGCACTGGATGCGGCTGCCGCTGCAGCAGAGGCAGCGGCGGAGTTACTGTTTACGCTGCCTAACGGACGTCCTCTCTTAGCTGCCGGAGTAGCTGAGCCACCGCCAGCTACACCACCGCTTTGCCGCTTCTGCATCTTTTTCCCGCTTATTTCTCCTTTCTGCTATGCACAAAAACCACTGTGAAGAATTCGAGGTGCGTGAGAGAATAAATGCTGAAACAATGGGTCGGGTTTTCATATAAGTCCAACATTGAGCCCATGGTTTTTTCATGTAAGTCCAAATGTGTTTTCTTTTCGAAAAATTACATAAATACAAAACTTAAAATAGGGAAAATTAAGCAAATACCTCATAAAAGTAAAATAATTACAAACATATACCCCTTTATAGTCATACCTCACTAAATATTTTACATTATATACCCTAACTAATTTCTGAACAAGAAACCTTAATGATGTCACACCCAAACTTTCGGAATTGGATATAGTTAACCCCAAATGTATGAGATTTATGTATTTTATATTACTTTTTTTAAAAAAAAATTATTTGATGTCCGATATCTTCATTAGAGTTTGATTAATTTGAATTCACGACATGTAAGGTCCATTCGAGAAAAGCACTCCATGTAAAAAAAAATCATAGTCAAAACTCAAAATTAAGACATCTGATTAAACAAGAGTAACTTCATTTGTTGCACCACATCATTTGGTGGTGAATTTGAAGTTTCAATCATAAAATTTAAAAATCCAAAACATTAACATTTTTTTGTGATAAGCCGAAAATTACTAGTGAATGTCATAAATCGTTTTATGCTTTAAATAAATTGATCTTTATTTTTATTCTTCAAATAAATTGATCTTTAGTTTTATCCTTTAGCAATTGAACTTATATCTAATATAATGGACATAAGTTCTTAAAAAAATAAAGTTATATAATTTATAAAATACTAGTATGATATAAAAATATAAAATTTATGACTGGTAAAAAATAAGTTAAAATATAAAATTTATGTCTGGTAAAAAAAAGTTATTTACACTTAGGTGCAAAAAAATTTAAAACTAACATTAAAATAGCAAATGACCCCATGAACACACAGTTGAAAGCAATACTATGGACACCATTATTTATACCAAAAGTAGCCACTTTTTGGTTTGTTTCAAATTTTAACCATAATTTAGAAAGTATTATAAATCTAGCAACAACAAAAAAATGATTTGTGTAAGCATAATCCTTAAGTAAGCCCAAATGAAGGTTTGAAGTCAATAGAGACATAATATCCATAAGTCTCACAAAGAGAACCATATTCATAACTATTTATTGAAATTAATAATTATTTGAATAATTTGAAAATTAGACTTTGTAATAATTTAAGTTGAAACTATTATAATTTTTTTTGATGACAAGGGAAACCCGCAGCCGCTATCCTTTGGGTGCGCACAGGGTAAAACCCGCGCTCCTATGCAATAGATCGCAAACCACATAGGAGAGGTAAACCGCACTAGGCAAGCCTGATGCGACGAGCTCGACCCAGAAGGCAAACCCCTTGCTTTCGCTGGCAAGGGGTTTCGAACTTGAGACCTCCAACATGGAAGTCCCAAGCTCAAACCACTGGGCCACCCCGAAGGGTATGTTGAAACTATTATAATCCGAACATGTTAGAATTGATTCTTACAATTATATATAAAAAATTTACATTCGTCAAATTTTTAATTTTCTATTTGTAGTTGTGGATTAAGCGTACCATCATGATTTGATGTTAGCAAGACTTCTTTGATCTTTTGAGTTTATAATTGTCTTGAATTCAATATCTACTCTATTTAAATATCCATACTAGCATAGTGTAGACCTTGAATGGCTCTTTCATGGCCTTCTGAAGCTCTCGATTTTTTCTTATACTTATTTAAAGATGTGTACATTCATAATGTTGTGTTTTAAATTACATATTTCGTACTGCTTTTCATCTCCTTACCCTATCGTGTCTCCTATTTTTTCATTTGAAGTTTTTTTTTATAACAATTACAATATCCGATTAAACATATCATTTAAAATTGATCCTATAAAATTTATTGATTATTAAAAACAAAATACATATAGTATTTTTTTATTTCACAAAAGCTCCTTCTTCCTTTGTTTTGGCACAACAATAAAACTAGGATTATAATTAAATCAATTTATTCTATTAAAAGAGGTGTGTATCTCGAACTATTTCACTATACAACAAACATCAAATAACTTTGTTCATCAAAATTAAAATATATGAGAAAAGATAATCTAGTATTTTATCTTTACTGAGAATTGCACCCGTCAAAAAATTAAGCAATTTCTTTTCATACACTTAGCTTTGATGAGTAAAAAATATTTCATAAAATTAATCGAGATGCGAACATTGAGTACTACCTCTGACAAGTCACATTTCAGTGCCATGGTGGCATTAACAGCATAAAATTTTTGTCGTCTCGTCTCCTTCTTCCTTTTTATTCTTTTTGAATATTTTTCTCTAAAAAAAATTCCAATTTCTTCGTCAAAAAGGCAATTGTCATATAAAAAATTCGATTATTCATCTTCGACCGAATTTTTCACCGTCGATTCTAGTTCCGATAATTGACGATTTCATCGAAATCGGAAATTCGAATCAATCAACTTTGATCGGTTTTTGTTTTAGATCAGATCTGTAAAAGTCATGGGAGGTTTCGTATCGAGATTCTGGTTCATGATGTTTCCAGCGAAAGAGTACAAGATCATTGTTGTTGGATTGGATAATGCTGGAAAAACGACGACGCTTTATAAGTTGCATCTGGGTGAGGTGGTTACTACCAACCCTACTGTTGGTAGTAATGTTGAGGAGCTTGTTTATAAGAACATTCGATTTGAGGTGAGCAAACACTGTATTTGAATTTCATAGTGCTTTTTTGTTTTGTTGAGTTATAATTGGATTATTCAATCATTTTGCATCTAGTTTATGCGTGAAATTGAGCACCAAATGGTGTGATCTAGTGGTCAATGAAGTGGCTTAAGAACTGTGAGGTATTAGATTAATTCCTAGAAGAGATGAAAAACACTAGGTGATTTGTTCCTATCTGTCCTAGTTTTGGTGGCCTTGGTGGATAGAGAGTTACTTGGTATCTGATGCTGGTCGGAGGTTGTAGGTATCATGTGGATTAGATTTATGAGTGAAATTGAAGTATAAAGTTGTTCCTTAGTGGACAGAGTTACCTGGTACCTATTGCTATTATGTTGTTGGTGGGAGTTTGTAGGTATCATGTGTAATTAGATTTATGAGTGGAAGTGTAGTACAAAGTTGTTCCTTAGTGGACAGAGTTGCCTGGTAGCTATTGCTATTATGTTGCTGATGGGAGGTGATATGTATCCTAGTTTGACGAACTATGCGGATGCTAGGCCATACACCACGGTTATCAAGAAGGAAAAAAGGGGTTATGCGTGAAATTGTAGTATAAAGTTGTTATGTTGATAAAGAAGGATTGATTTTTTAAATGGGTAATTTTTGGGTTAGCTTGCTCCAAATTCCCCATAGAGGCCTGTCTTGAACTCGTAATAGCCTATGCATAAGCAATCATCATGATTGAGGAAGCTATTTTAGTTTGGTAATGATTCAGCCTAGATTATGACATTGGATGTCTGTTAATCTCGGACAGATGGGAAGAAATAGCTTTAGCTTCTTCTCATGCTGGGATTAGAACCCATGTCTCCCATGGGCTTCAATTCCAACTGCTTTGAATTGCACGAAACCACACACTTGGGTGCTCAGAAAAGAACGATTTTTGTTTAACAGATATATTACAGAAATGAATTGGTTTGATCCATATATATAAATGGTAATTGCAAGTTGAGGAGATTTATTTGGTATTATCATTTAGTTTTACTTGTTTAACTTGGTATACGTGCTCAGAAATGAACTGATAGACATTTGCTAACATGCTTTTGAGAAGGTTCTGGTTGCTAATGGGAAGAGCTCAGTTTGTTCCATGCTAGTGATTAGCACTTGTAATGAAGAATTTATCCGTTTCTCCTGGAATGGTGGTTAATGAGATGTTATTACTATTTGACAGATTCTAGTATGAGAACATGACCTCTACATTGAAAATAACCCTGGTATTGACCCGATATTTACTTTATAGTTTATAGAATAGGCTAGCAGCAGCTAATGTGTACCAATCTGGAATCATTTAAGAAATTATCTTTTATGATATCCCAAGGTCTGTTTGGACAAACACATATTCAGCTGGCAGTGTTAAGCTTGTCAGATTAAACATTTTTTCTTTTTCTTTTTAATTTGAAGTTGTTCTGATATTTCAATTATAGTGTGAGTGAGAGATACGATTCTGTACAAGTCTGTCTATGAAAATAATAATAATTTGAAGATTTTGTTTCTGAGGAAGCTATCCTTTATAAGTTGATTGTGTACATGATGGTTTTCAATATCACTTAATCTGATTAAGTGACCGAGGATAGGACAGATGTCGGTAATATAGGGATTCACCAACTTAAATTTAGTAGTTGGGAATTAGAAAATTTGAGGTGGATTTTGGCTGAACTTTTGAGGAAATGTATCACATTTTAGTCTAACTGATGGATCAAATGATGGAGAAGTAGTGGGTCAAGTTTTTTAGGATCTAGGCGGAGGAGGAAGAAGAAGCAGAGGTAGAAGAAGGGTGAGGAAGGCAATAGCTTGGTCAGTTCTAACTCAGAAGGGTTAATCTTCACAGAAGAGGATCATTTTGACAGGACTAGATCAAGTTGTTCTTTAATCTACAAATGCTTGCTGATGACGAAAAGGGATCACAGTTTCTTATAGTTTATTGATGTGATGGGGGTGAAAGCCACATAAAGTATGAATAAGAAAATAGAGAATTCCACAAGAAGTACATGATTGTGAAGAGTCCTACATCTATGCTGATTGGAATATTTAAGTGCTCCAAAAAGGTTAAAAAAATAGAAAAGTTACATCTATTTGTACTTAAGTAGAAGTGTTTGATATGTTGGAAGTAATTCTCCATGTATGTTTTCATAGAAAGTATTTTTCTAGTGTTTGGTTTGTGAATGGAAAATAAGTTTTTGGCAAAAAGTATGTACTAAATATTAATAATGGTGTCAGCAAAGCATAGTGTTTTGATGGAACTTTTTATTACTGAAGATCAATAATTATGTGGTAGTTGGAGCAAGTAATATGAACTTAAGAATTAAAGATAGCAGAAAGAAAGATGACTTACTTCCTAAGTGAGAGAAGTAATTTCCCCCCTCTTAATAGCAGAAAAATTGGCTTCTCTTAAAAACGATATTTGTCTTGCCAAGAGCACCCTAAATACTTATCTATTTCTCTTTGTCCATAGTGTCTACATGAGCGCCAAATTGGTAACTTCTCATGCTGTCCTTCAGTCTTTCTACCTCCTCAATTTCCAGTCTAGCGACATCTGTCTGAGATTTGTGGCATCGCCATTCAGTTCCAAACATGTTCCACACAATATACTATAACCTGTATGTAATCGTGCAATGCAGCAACGGTTAACATCCCAATAGGAATGGGCTAGTTGGATGTCAATCTGCAGAGTAGGATTTTGGGCACCATCCCTTGACTTAAGTTGTTTCAGCCCTCGAGCGAGTTTAAAGAACTTTCTATGAAAATTCTTAGTTTGGGTAATTCATAATTCTGTGATGAGTGATTGAGTGGTCCTTCTAGTCCCATGTTGCTATTCAATTATTTTGCTGTTTGATGCAGCACATGAAATATTAAACAGATGAAATAGGTTTATAATGTGCAACTTTATTTTCATGATGACAACTTGTGAAATCATCTTAAGTGCTGTTTCTTTTTCTCATAATGGTGTTCTCCCAGAACAATTGACACCTTGACAGTGTGGTTTTACATGATAAGATTCTTCTTTTTCGATAACCGAGAAATCCCGAGGGCCAGTGGCACATGGTCCGCAATGCTGTAGATAATGGGCTCACCCCTCTACCCTTCTTTACTTTTAACCTTCTCCACTTAAATTTCGGTCTTTTGGCTGCGCCAGGGTTTGAACCTGTGATGCCCGTAATAAGATTCTTAACTTAGGTGGGTTATAGTGATGCTAATTATAGTGTTCTCATTCTTTTCCATCTTTATGCACAGTGCTTTATTTCTTTTTCCCTACCCTTTGTGGAAGTTGATTCAGTAGTATTTGTTGTTGCTCTTGTATCTTTTAATCAAAATGGTTAATTTTGTGGACCCATTATCTCTAATGAGGAAACATTCATCGCTTAAACAGTTAAATGATCTTATGGTCATAAAGACCACCTAATAAAGAAGAATTTCACTTTCTAAGAGCAGGTAAGGGTACCTTTTGGGCCTGAAGTACTGGAATTTCTAAATTTCTCTGAATGAAATAATTCTGATGACTTTTTAATCTGTGAAAATGAAACCGTTTACAACACAGTCAAAGATATCTTTTCCTTGAAAGATGACTACTACTATTTTCTGAATCACCCCAAAACCTACAATCTTTTTTTTTTACCAAATTACTTCTTTTGCCCTAATTGAATGATGTCCTTGTTACATGTGTGTGTCTCAACTCTCAACATTATCAGCTATTAATGTACTCGCCTCTGGCAACCTTTAAGGTCACTAAATAGGTAAGCATATTGGATTTTCAATATAATTTACTGTCTTGCATTCACCCCATTTAATAATAAAATTGTTTTGTTGCTCAGGACTAGTAATGCTAGAGCCAAGAAAATACTTCTGCTGAACCTATCTAACAAAAAAAAAAAAAATCTTCTGCTGAACCCCTCTTAACAACCGGAATAACTGAGGATATTTGTTTACTCCTTAAATTATAAGTTACCATTATCCTCTCACTTTTTTTTCTCCATTGACAAAGTGTATTGACAAAAGACTGCAGGTTAATTTACATGTTGTTTTGCTTTTTATATCTGGAGAAATAGATGAAGACAGTTCTGTTTATCTTACTCCTTTCTTTCTATTTTATTCTGTTTTTATCAGGTCTGGGATCTTGGTGGGCAAGAAAGACTGAGGACATCATGGGCAACTTACTATCGTGGAACTCATGCTGTCATCGTAGTTATCGATAGCAGTGACAGAGCCCGTATTTCCACTATGAAAGACGAGCTGTTCAGGTTGCTCCCACACGAGGAACTGCAAAATGCAGTTGTACTAGTCTTTGCAAACAAACAGGATCTTAAAGATGCCATGACCCCTGCAGAGATAACTGATGCACTTTCCCTTCATAGCATCAAGAACCACGATTGGCATATACAAGCCTGCAGTGCCCTGACTGGTGACGGTTTATACGATGGTTTAGGATGGATTGCACAGAAAGTTCCTGGCAAAACACCAACCTAGACGTCGTTAGACAAAGGGAATTGTTCTTTTTCTGTATTCACAGAACTAATATGAAACTCCACGCCCTTGCTGTAAGTTTTTATGTGTAGTTCATACTCTTTACCATATACATTTCCTTGAAGAGCTACTGGTTTTGGTACATCTGAACCTTTTCTAATAGCTGTGACAATCGACTCCTGCAAGGATATACAAGATTTGAATATTCTGCATTGCAAAGTTTATATCATAACTCAGTGTAATCCTATAAGTGAGGTTGGATAAGATGTACGCAACCTTATCTACTTTATGGGGTAGAGCGTTTGTTTCCAAATTTCAAATTACCCTTGAACAACCCATATTTATATATTATATTTATACCTTTCGAAAACACATTATCTACTTATGGGGTAGAGCGTTTGTTTTCAAATTACCCTTGAACAACCCATATTTATACCTTTCGAAAACACATATACAATTGACTACTTGTGCATTCAAAACAACTTTAGCTTTAAAAATATGTAGATATATAATTATAATCAACTATGATATTCAGGCGAATTATATTTTGCATGCACACAAATATAGTTTATTACTATGTTTTTTAAGAGAAAATGCTACTACATTTTGGAAAAAGAAAATCTAGCTATATTATTATTTTGCTATAAGATAAACGTCCCTTTTGAATAATTACGTGTTCGATAGAGCGGTGGATCCATTGTGATTATTGCTACGTGGCTCCCCCTATGCACACGTGTCATCGTCTCATGATAATAAATAAATATTGCTTAGGTATTATTTTCATTTCTTCACTACTCTAAAAAAATCCCTTCTTCTACTCTCCAAAAGAAGAAATGTCTAGTACTGTATTATGGCCATTTCACACAGTTTTTTGAAGAAGACAATTTCATTTTATCACTCAACTTGTACAACTCCATTAATGGCTAAAACTGTAAGAATAAACGGCCCAAATCTTATTTCAGCCCATATGAAAAGTTACAACAATTATAACCTATCTGTTTTAGAACCTATAGAGATACCACCAGAAAAGCCTGCTAAGGAACCACCGTTATCACCTCCAAGCCCAGGCCCAGAATTTCCAGGCCCACCAATACCATTACCGCCCGATCATGATCCAATGGGCCCAGACATGCCTGGGCCACCGCCTGAGATTGTTCCGCCCGGTGGGCCGGATGTTATACCTCCGATGGACCCGGAGATTGTTCCGCCTGGTTGGCCGGATGTTACACCTCCAACACCACCGGAGATTGTCCCGCCCACCGGGCCGGATGTTGTGCCTCCGAAGGAGCCCGAACCTGAACCGTGGCAGGTTCCGCACCCTGATGTCCCATCACCCATCATCTTTTGATGATTTGGTGTCGGAGCTAGAATTTTAAATGAACTACTTTTAATGGATTAAGTAGATTTTGAATCAAGGCAAATTATGAAGATATTTTTATGTTCATCATTTTTTTTGCATATTGTGCGGAGGATAAAATAGAACTGTTCATTTTCTTGTCAATAAAAAAGATATGACAATCAAGACCACAAAAAGAATAAAATTTACATCTTTCAATCATAAATCGAAACATTGAACAAAATTAACAGAATTAAAAGTACATTCTCTCAAACAATTTAAGCTTTGATTTTTTTTAAAAATAAAATGCTCATGCTATAAGTAATTTACTAAATTCTTCTAATAATATATATATATTGAAATTTATAATGTACTAATCAAACTATTTTGAATTAGGACAGGTGTCAGATTGCATGGCCTCCACGTGTCTCATGAATAACACGTATCAAATACAAAGGTGTCTCATGAATAACACGTATCACTTGCACTATCCTATATACATTTACAAAAAAAATTGTGCTAAAACCAAATAAATGATATCTTTAATATTCCCGTTCTACCAAACAGATTACCAAAATATTTAAAACAAAATGCTAAGAGTTTCAGCCAAATATTATACAAAATCTTCAATATTTCTTGTTCAAAATTTGAATATTTCACTTGGACTTGCTAGAAAAATGAGCAAGGAAAATCTTCCATCTGATTTTCCTACTACTACCACACCACCACCAAAAATCAGCAGACCCACCGATGCACCGCCGGCGGTGGAGGATTCACCTTTCGTGCCAGATTTCGATGCCATTCCACCGATAAGACCAGGTAAATAATCGTTCATTCAGAATTTAAACTTTATGAATTTAAATTTAGTATCTATTTAATTTCTTTTATTAGGTTAAAAAGAATAGTATAATTGATAAGTTAGGTAGTAAATTACGAGATATATATCATTTAGTGATTTTTTCATATATTATAAGGTTTGATGTTATTCTACCGATAAAGAAAATATATAAGGGCAGATTTTCTAATTAAAAAGTACAAGATATTGTTGGTGTTAATTTTATTTTTTAGTATTAGATTCGAACAAATATAAAACAGTAAATATATAACTATAAATTTTAGGAATCACATAGTTTTAATATGAAATTACAATCTGTCCCTATTTAGTTTGTAATTACATTAATCCCTGAAAAAGTAAAACAAATCGGATACATAATATGTAGCTCGGATACATTATAAAATAAACCGGATACATAATATGTAGCTTGGATACATTAAAAATTATTTTGGATACATTATAAACTAGCTCGGATACATTATAAAATAATTTAGAATTAGGAGAGAAATAAGGGATTTTAGAGGTTTTTAGAAATAGAAGGGAATATTAGAAATAATGGAAACATACGAAGTGTGTATTTTAGTATTTTTTTTCAATATATAATGTATTTGGGTGCGCAAACAAGTAAATACTTAAATTTATATAAAATTGAATAATTAGTACACACATGACTAGGTATGCATGTGTGTCTATCAGTTCAATTTTATACAAATTTAAATGTTTATTTTTCTAACCTCAAAGTTGGAAGCTATATATGTCAAGTCGAGTTAAATGGTATGTTTATTATTACCTCAACAATAATGAATAATAGGGGAAGATTCATATCGTTAGAAGAAAGAGTTGCAACTTGTAATTACTTTTGTTATAGTTTGAATATTTAAATTTTAAAATATCTAATTTGACTTAGCTTTAAAGATTAGTTAGATTGACTTTCGATCGAAAAGCTAAATACAATGTAAGGAGTAATTTTTTTCTACACGAACTAAAGCTATTAGATATAGATAGTATTAACACTATAGTTGAACTGCAGGTGAAAACCCTCCACCACCATTACCGTCACCAACCGCACCATGGACCGATAGTCCTGAATTTTCCGAACCACCGAACACTTCTCCGTCAGGTCACGAAGCACCACAACCACCTGGACAGCCGGAGGCGTTCCCACCACGCGCTCCGGACGCTACGCCTACTAAACAACCTCCGGATGCTGGAGAGCAAATTAGAACATCTAATGTTAGATCTGAGTAGTGAAATATTACATATTTTCGTTATTTTTTAGTAATATATAACTATCTGATATTTGAAATTTTCTAAATCTCATTTAGAGGTTTATTTGTTCGTAAACTTGAAATGTACATGATGCTAAGGGTATATTTGAACTATGTACGTACTGAGTAAAACCTCCACTTTGTAATAGCCTACAAATTACACAGTGGATGTAAACCGCACTAGGCAAGTCCTATGCGACGAGCTCGATTCAGAAGGCATTGAGGGGGGATTGATCACGGGTCATCCGTGTGGATAACCACCCTCCAAATCAACTGAGCCATCCCAATGGACATGTACATTTTTTCACATAGTAATAATACAAAGTATTTAGTTTCGATGGAAAAATAAGTTTGCGTTTGAAGGGAAATTTGCATAGTTGGAGGTTTAAGCGTTCCATTATTTATCATTATTATTTGAATTCGAGATCTTTTATCAAGCACAACGAGATTTTATCTATCTCATCCTGACATTGTTTAGATTAAATTTGGGTTTGATCGAATTCAGTTATTTTTGTTTAAATAATATATTTGTATCAAATTTTTTTATTAAGTACTAATTAATTATAATACATTAAATTTGAAACTCAAATGATTAACACTTGAAATCGCCATTTCAAAATTTGTCTTTACCAAATTATGTACTACTATATTTCATTTTAAAACCAATTATAACTTCTCATTTTAAAATTAAGCCCCAAATTTTACATTTCTAGGTAAAAGTCCCTTTGATCAACTAAACCAAACAAGCTCTTTTAAAAAAAATTTGCATGTTGTTTAATTTTGTGATTTGCATTATTGTGCCCTATTTTGTATTCGTCTTTAATATTTTCACTGATAATTTCCATATATTTGCGTTATAATATCTCACAAGTTACGTTCACGACTTACCTAAATAAACTAAAATTTTGCCCATCGCAAGTGTAGCAGTTAGCAATGTATACTAATTATAAGAAATTGCATGGTGGTTTCCTAAAGTGTTGGACTTATTTGCTACCAAAATGATGGATGTTCATCACGCCTCTAAGTTTCTTCCTATATATAAAAATACTGACTACCCTTTATGTATTTTCGGAGTTAATTTGCATCGCTTGCTTTGCACATCGACTAATTCTACCGGTATTTGCTACCTTCCATCAGCACACAAATACGGTAATCTATTTTCTAGCTTTCAAGTCTAATGCAGATTGAATGCTCTTTAAAAATTTAAGTTATATATATTGATCAGAATGTTAACATCTTTCACACGATCATGGTAACTTAATTCAGTGACACAACTAGGATTTTCACTCTACTATATATACATAAAAAAATAATTTTAGTCATTTTATTCAGGTTACCGTTAATGTTAGTGTAAAGATTTACGTGTAGTTATCTTATGAGTGATATGATTGTGTAAGTATTTTTTACAATCAATTCATAAAACTTAATCTCTCTTGTGGCTAAATGTATGATTGAAAGGTGAATTAGTAAATATGATAAGTCGTAGTAGACGTTTGTACATGAACTAGTAAAAGCTCAAACTATGAACTAGATGAAGTAATTTGTTAAAGGAGACGAAGCAAGGGGGCGAGAAGGGGTACATACGACCCCCTTTGCCCCCGAAAGACAAAACTCCTTGTGTCGAAAAGTTATATTGTATATATAAGGTCAAAATTATTTCTTATGTATAACCTAGATGTTGATATGCTTCTTCTTGAACTAAGGGTCTATGGAAACAACTATTGTGCGTACACACTACCCCCTCAGACCCTACTTGTGAGATTGCACTGATTATGTTGTTGTAAATAATAGATGTTGAATCCTGTCTTTGTATGTTTACTGCTTTATATTTTGAATCGCCATAGTGAAAATCTTGATTTCGTCACTGGACGTGAGGGCTATACCTTCCAAGAATTTGTACTTCTATACTAATGTTTTTCATCTTTATTTCTCTATGTAGAGCCTGAGAACTTGTGGACAGAATGAAGATCAAAGTTTTACTTGCAGCATTACTGATATGGAATTTATGTACCTCTTCCTTTGGCTTCAATAATGCATCTGCTAATAATACGATACGAATCGGATTAAAGAGGAGAAATTTGGATATTTATAGCATAAAGGCTGCAAGAATTTATGCTAAACATCATCAGAAAGGTTCAAATATGAATCTTGGTGCTCTTAGAGATGAAATAGTTTATGTGAAGAACTATATGGACGTCCAGTATTTCGCGGAGATTGGTATCGGTTCACCACCTCAGCATTTTGCTGTTGTTTTTGATACTGCTAGTTCAAATCTTTGGGTCCCGTCCTCGAAATGCATTTTCTCTGTAAGTTCGTCATGAAATTGTGCACATCATTGTAGTTTCAGGAAGAAAATTGAAGTGTGTGACCGTCTCAGCTAAAAGCTTAAGCTATTAGCGAATCCTTTTGTTAGCTCTAATACCATGGTGTGTGATTATCTCAGCTAAAAGTTTAAGCAATTAGCAGAGAGCACACTTTTATTTGCTTGACTATGTTTTCAATCCCTTGTAAGCACTTTTTTTTTCGTGCAGATCGCTTGTTATCTTCGTTCCAAGTACAGATCAAGACTATCGACTACATATACAAAAATTGGTATATATCCAATTGACTTCAAAACTCCTAATTTCGATTAAATATAATTTAATCTTTATACACTGCATAGGTTCAGTTAAATTTTTTGGCTTTCTACTGTAGGAAATCGTAGCAAAATCCCTTTTGGAACTAGATCAGTGCGCGGATTTTTCAGCCAAGACAACGTTAAAGTTGGGAGTTCTGTCATAAATCAGCAGGTGCCAATCTTAATTCTTTGTAGCTTGACGTTGTACATATGTTCTTAATGCTAAATGTTCAAACAAAAATCTATCAGGTTTTCACTGAGGTAACTCGGGAAGGATTTTTCACATTCTTGAGTGCACGATATGATGGGGTACTAGGACTAGGATTTCAGGATGTTGCTGCAGAACGAGTAACGCCAGTATGGTAAACATCTCTATTTTGTTCATAGATTAGTATTACTTAGTTTTTCGCCAAATTTCTAATGCTTGTTTGACTGAAGCCAGCTGAGTCTCTAACTGATAGCTGAATCTTATACTCCCTCCGTTTCAATTTGTTTGTCTGGTTTTGACTTGACTCAGTGTTCAAGGTGTTCAAGAAAGTAATGAAGATTTTTGAATCTTGTGGTCTTGAACACGTCAGGTGGAAAGTTGAAAGAGGAAAGAGATATTCTTTTTGAAACGGACTAAAACGGAAAGTAAGACAAACAAATTGAAACGGAGGGAGAATTTATTTTTCTTCTGATCATGTGCACTAATTTAGCATGATATTGGTAGGTATAATATGTTGCTTCAACGTATCGTTACTCAGCCAATCTTCTCGCTCTGGCTGAATCGAGATCCTAAATCTAGGTTTGGGGGTGAAATTCTCTTTGGAGGGGTGGATAGTACTCACTTCAGGGGTCAGCATACTTATGTCCCAGTTGCTCAAAATGGTTACTGGGAGGTAACTAATTAAACCAAGTAGAGTATTTTATGCATGTTCTTTAGTGTTTTTCTTCTTATTGTTTTGAGTTTGTTACATTTTCCAGATTGAAATAGGGGATGTTGTTATCGGAAACAATTCAACAGGTAATATATTCACTAACTTATGCTGAAGCGTGTGACCATCTCAGCTGAAAGCTTATGTAAATCTTGTTATTTCCCGTCACAGGTCTTTGCAAAGGTGGCTGTCCAGCGATTGTGGATACTGGAACGTCTTTTCTTGCTGGTCCGACTGTATGTGTTCTCATGACGATTGCTCATTTTTCTTAATCTTATTCGTGTAGTTTTTCTGTTTTTTCTCATCTGTCTATGTATTTACTCGATTTCAGACTATTTTGACTCAAATCAATCATGCTATTGGAGCAGAAGGATTTGTTAGTATGGAATGTAAAACTGTTTTCTCGAATTATGGGAATATGATTTGGGAAAACTTAGTATCAGGCGTAAGCTCCTTTTCTACTTCTCGTTGTTTTACCCCTTTCACGGATTCTAAATGGTCTTTACCTGGCCTATGTTGCTCGGATCCTTCAAAAATGTCACCTTTGCATGTCGGACCTCATTTTTGGAGGATCCGACACTGGTGAGAGGCGAGGACCTGAGTAACACAATTCCTGGCTCAACTTTGTAGGCAATATTTTACACATCAAATTCTTTTAACATTTCACTCTTTGTCCCTGCAGTTACAACCTGAAAGAATTTGCCACAGAATTGGTATTTGTACACGTAATGGCACGTTTGATGTAAGGTTAGAATTCCGAACTCCTCTCCTAATTCCCCTCAAATGATGTAAGATTATAACGTTGAAACCGAGACTTTTATTGTAAACATATGCAGCCATGTCAAGGAGAAAATGGAAGCTAGAAGTTCGAAATTGGAGAAGCTACCGAATGATGAGAGTGGTTTATGTTCTTTCTGTGAGATGACAGTTTTCTGGATGCAAGTAGAGCTTAGAAAAGAGACAACAAAGGAAAAAACATTTGAATATGTTAATCAGGTAAATCCATTTGTATGTTGCTCGGATTCTCCAAAAAATGAATAGCGTTTCGAGAATCTAACACACATCCGACAACATTTGTGAAAGATATATCCAAGTAACATAAATCCATTTAAGATATATCTATACTTGCATCTGATTACTCTTATTTTGTGTTGAAGCTGTGTGAGAAGCTTCCGGATCCTCAAGGAAAATCGTATATCAACTGTGACGTGTTTTCGCTGCCACATATCACAATTACCATTGGAAATAAACCTTTCCCCCTTTCTCCAGATCAAGTAAGTTGTTATCAAATCGTCTCGTTTATTTGCAACACAGATCAAATTCTGTGTTTCTTTGCGCGGAAGTTTATTGAAGTAGTAGAGAAACCATAGCCATTAGTTTATGTTCTGTTTGTTCTGGTGGATCAGAGGACCAACAAGGTGACTACTGCTAACCACAACAAAGCTCGACTAACTAAACGAATTCTGTGAGGTGTAGGGATGGTTCTTATAGTCGTCCTGCTAAACGTCCTATTACAATGTGCATACTAGAAGCACTTTTATTCTCACACAACAAAGCTCGACTAACTAAACGACTTTTTGTGTGTAGGGATGATTTTCTTCGTTGGGCTTAATGTGCTATTATACAATGTGCATTCTAGAAACACTTCTATTCTTTCAAAACAAAAGCTCAACTAACTAAGTAAACTTTTTCGTAGGGTGTAAGGATGGGTTTTTTCGTTGAGTTTAACGTGCCATTACAATGTTGCATACTAGAAGCAATGTTATTCTTAGGCATCTGTTCTCTATCTTTCACAGACTAACTACTTTCTGCTCGGTTTTTGGTAATAGTATCTTATCAGAGTCGAAGACAACCATGATACTCGCTGTCTTAGTGGATTTACAGCTTTGGATGTGCATCCACGACGTCCTCTCTGGTAAATAAATTAAATTGTTTGGCGCGAATTATGAATATTTTGTCACCTCTTCATTTGCACGCGATGTCCACGAGAGTGATTTTGAAATTCTTGATATTGGCAGGGTTCTTGGAGATGTATTCTTGAGAGCATACCACACTGTTTTTGACTTTGGTAATCTACAAGTTGGATTTGCAGAAAGTGCTTAGAGCATATTTCAAGAGTTATGGCCAAAATATATCATAAAATTGTTTGGTTTTGAAAGAATGGTGTTTGGTTTACTACTTAAACCGTCAGTTCAGTTTGTTGGTGAGAGTTCGATTCTCTACGCCTTGTAATCCTCCCCATTTCTCCTACCTCTTCCTTTTTTTTTGGCTTTTTAGTAGTTAGAATGATGCATAAAGAGGTGGTGTATAAAATTGCTAATATATTTATAACCTTTTTCTTACTCAATGTATGATGTATTTTGCAATAAAATTTAATATTTATAAAAAATAATAAATTGAAGATTTATTATTTATTGGCATAATATATAAACGTGTTTTTTAATCTGGCTTCAGCAGTGACAAGTGCTTTTGGAAGGCGCTATACCACTGAGCTACGTTTTGTTTCTTGTTCAGGGGGTTCAAAACTAATATATGTACGTACTTATAAAAAATCTATTATTATATATAAATATATAATATTTTGCCTAGGTAGTTCGGGTGAATCCTCTTCGGCTCTCTAGATTTACCTCTATTAACAACTATGTCCTTTAAATTTGAGTGTGCATAAATACACACTTAAGCTTGTATAAAGTTAAATAAATAGATACATATGGTAAATTGATCATTCGACTTCACAAATTTTGTGACAATATCATTCAAGAGATTTTTTTTTTTTCCTCTAATAAAGAGATGGTTAATCTCATTGTTCTTAGTCCTCTTATGAAACATTGGATTTGATGCAAAATGTCCATAAAACACAAAATGATCAATTCTATTACGAGTCATGTCAAATTCCTAAATTATTATGCTGAACTTTTCAAACCAAGCTTGAGAAGATTATTTCAGACCCAATCAACATACAAGGCTATTAAACCTTCCTAAACAGCAAATTAAATTATTACTCCATATAAATTTCTTTCTTAAGCTCATTACGGAGAGAAATATTTTTAATGTGACATTCAACATAAAATACATTCAAACAAATTTAATTTAATTTTCTTTTTATTCTCTAAAGAACCCACAATTTTTTTTTTTTTTGAATACTCATGAATAAATTGGGCAATTTACAATAGCTCGCACACTACACACATGACAACAAGGTAAACGCTAGTGTTAGCTTAGTCGTAGCTTTTCAATAGTATAAAAACTTGTCCCACAGCAATAAAAAGTCAAAACTCCATCTCCGCACGTCATATTCACGTCTCCATTCCAGTGACCCAATTCCCCAAAAAAATATTGTGCATTACCGAAATTCCGGCGAGAACAAATTGTAAATCCGTCGGACGGAATGGAAATTGGAGACGGAGTGAAGTGCTCCAAGGTAATAGCTTTGGTAGCTATTTTATTATTCAGCTTCGTCGGCGACCTATCGGCGTTATCGGTGACGGTAAACGACGTAGAGTGTGTTCAAGAATACGTGCTGTATGAAGGCGATACAATTTCTGGGAACTTCGTTGTTGTAGATCATGATATCTTCTGGAGCTCGGATCATCCCGGCATTGATTTCACTGTATGACTTTTTTTTTTTACCCCTTTCTCTGAAGTATAAATTCCTGATCTTTATGCTTAGTTGTTTGAAATGTGAAGTTGATTTATTGTCAGATCCTGTTTTTATAGATTGAAAAGGGATAACAACAACAACATACCCAGTGTAATCCATCAAGTGGGATTTGGAAAGGGTAGAATGTATACAGATTAAGATAGAGAGGTTGTTTTCGTTAGATCCCCGCTTAAAATAAAGCATTTCCAAGCAATTTGAGATTGAAAATGGATAAATCCCCTTTAAATATGATCTTATATACAAAAAGCTAACTAATTATCTGACCTGAGGGTGTTGTGTAGATGGATAGTAGTCAATTAGCTGGGAAGAGAACCATGGGGTTTGAGGTTCAAATCCAAAGAAACACTAGGTGATTTCTCCTATATGGCTAGTTTTGGGGAGGTAGAAGGTATTCTGTGGAATAGTCGAGGTAGTATCATCAAAATAATATAAACTATTCATGTGTGCTAATATGTAGTATCATCAAAGTGCTCCAAGAATTTACAAAAAAAAGAAGTTAAAAGTGATGTTGATATGTAAAAAGGAGTTGACTTAAGAAGCTATCTGGTTTCTTTACTCGATGTTGTCGTCTTTATGCACCTGAAGCACTGATGTTGACCCTCTTCCTCAATCCTCAGGTTCTTCCCACCCTTTAAATCTAGAGTTCACCAACTTGTTTGCAACTAATGTGCAACCTTGCATGTGCCTATCTTCCATGAAGGCATTACAAAAGAAAGCAACTTTGCTAGAATTTTATAGATGCTTATTATTAGACTTCTAGCTTTGAAGTTTTTTCTTGACAGTGGATACACTTTCCACGATAATAATGGGAAAGATGTACTAGGTCTTTTTTTGATATATGCCATTTTTCATGAAGAACTTGGTTCTATGATATCATTTTTTGACAGAACTCTTTGACACTTTTGAAAGAACGCCATAAGAAACCATCAAAAGCTTGGGAGTTTGTCCCTAAGAGTTAAGACAATTCTTAACTACTTACTAATCATTCCTGTTAATTCCTCTCCAAAGTCCAACCACTCCCTCCCCATCTCCTATACCCTCTCCCCTCCTCCTTTCCCATAATGTATTGCTAATAATATATTCCCGTTTAAGACTCCAAGCGACATCCTCCCTATATAGATGTGTATAGAACCCTTCGATTGCATTCCCACCAGCTCTTCTCCCTCAAACACTAAAGCCCTTGCAACTCAATGTTTCTAGGAAGTTTCTTCGTTTGTTAACTATAGCTGGAGCAATGGAAAGATTTTGTAATTCCTTTCATTTAACCATATCACCCTTTAATTTTTCCTGCAACTAGTTTCCGTAGCAATTGTGATTGGATCATAATTGTTTTAGAAACAAAAAAAAAACTTTTTTGTCTTATGGTTTTGCTTTGTTTCCAGCTTTATATTTGCTTTCTTCTTCTTCTGAGAAAAACGATTCTTCTTAGCTTTGCATGTACATATTCTTCTTCTACATCATACATATAGCTGCAAGGTCTCTTCTATTTAGATTACTTAGAGAAGAAGAACCAAAGAAATTGAAGGTGAGTTCCCACTGCTGGACTTCCACTTGAATTGAAGTCAAGTCGAAATTTCTTTGGTAGGCATATCAAATGAAAATCACAGATGAGAATATTTTCCACGATAAGTATTGGTTTGTTCAAGGTTTTTGTTGTCTTAATTGTCAAAGTTTATTTTGAATGATTATGATTTACACTAAGGTTAGGAAAATAACTTATTTTTTCCTTCCTGTGATGATGTTTAAAGATGGAAATCATTAAAAGAGAGGAAAATGCTTATACCTTTGAGATGATGAACATTTTTGACAGGAGTATAACCTAGTACAAGTCTTATTCTTCTATGACTTCATCTGCACCTAAATACTATTCTTGATGCTCCCAGTGTTGTCTAAAAGCTAACATCAATATTACTACTCTACATTGTCGCTTACGTAATTCTCAAAACCACCCTCCAGGAAAACCATATGTCCCATCTTAACTTCTAAGACATTAAACGATGATTAACGAAATGGTTTTCCTTCACTAAAGCCTCCTAATACTTTCTATGTGGAAATATCTTTTCTATTAGCTAAGTTGAGCTTATAAATTGTTTTATGTTTAATGGTTTATGATAAGTAAGCAAAGCATATTTTACTTCTCTTTTGTTACCCATTGAATAAACAATTCATATCTCTTTTGTATCTTTAGTCTTATTCTTGCTCTTTGCCTTTTTATCAGTCTAAAATAGGCAGTTGATTGTCAACCTATGATTTGAGATGTGTGAAAGCAATGAAGTTTTTGCCTTTTAGCATAATTAAAAGTTGAAAGCAGTGCTTAAGTGCACCAAAATCCATAAGACTATTGCTTTGGACATTGATCCCTTATGTCCCTTAAGAAGCATCCTTTATATTGAAACAGAGTGTATTAGAGCTAGCTTTGTGGATTAAGTGAGCAGGCAATTAGTTTGATAGCTTAGTACTTCTATATCTACGAACTTCATGATTTCCATCTACACTGGGTATGTTGTTGTCATTGCTTAGGAATGTGCTCCGCTCCAACTGACCTATGAGCATCTGCGTACTTTTGAGTCCCCAATTTGTCAAACAGAGCTACCTTATCTGATCCGAGAGGCCAGAGAAACTTAAGCATTAAAGCATAAACTTAAGCATTAAAGCTAACTTCACTTAGATCCTATGTGTTTGATGCTATCTGAAGGGACAACCCTCAGCTAGGATTGACCCTCTTATTCGATGTAGCATAGGATTTACCATTTGTCTCATTCAGCCTAAATGCATCATTGAAACAGATCTTTCAAGCATCCTTTGCTGAGCAGTGAGCTTATAAACCAATTGCTATTGGGGCATCTTACACAGAATGGTACAACTCAAGTAGGGATTTCAGTAGTTCCAGGTTGCTTGCTAGATTTTCTTATCCAACCTTGTCTCTTCAGCTCTGTGCCTCCCTATCATCTTCAATGAACCTTTCCTTTTTTTTT